CCCTAAGTGTTCCCATGTAAACAAGCCTTCAAATCATCGTCTTTTTAAATCTGCTATCTGGCTCACAATTTCCATCCTTGACATCTAGTCATTTTTGCCGTTATGTGGATCCTTTTTATTTTACCATATCTTTTGGGGGTAGTATAACCAGGATGAAATAATTGCCATGATTAAGAGTGTTTCTACAGTAAAGACCATCACTGCAATAATCTTTGTACACTTGTATATCTTGCTATATTTAACATAAAAAACAGGCAAGACATTAGTTAACTCTGTGTGGATTAAGCACCTGAATTTTGAACTCGTCACAATAGCCACTTCAAGTCTTTTACTTTAAAAGCTCCCATTAATATGGAATCTAGTGTAAGTAGCAAGAATTACTTTTCCTAAGAAATGCAAGAGTCTTGTCTGAGTCGGCTTCTGTCCAAATCAATGTTTAACAGTGTAAAAACTGTTAGTCTCACCAAAAGCAGCCCCATAGTCACACAAAATGAATGGACAGTTTTTAACTCCAGCTTGCACGAACTGTGTCCACATGTCCATAAAACCAGTGATACGTCCATTAACAACGTCAGCAGAGAACAGAGTTCACACCTCCAATAGGTTTAGGGTGAAGTTACCCTGGACTGTGACTGCACCATCAGGGACTATACTGCACATAAGTAAGAGTAATCCATTTTTCCAGTGTACTATGTCTGCAAAAACCAACAATTTCAGGAGTGAATACTTGCTTCCTAACAACTGGAGGTCTCCCTCTTTAAAGCTTTAATTGGTTGGAATAGCCCTGGATAAACTAGCTAACAACGATGCGGTGGTGTTATGGGTGACACAGGGCAGATTACTCTCTGGGCAGATGACACCAGGGAGGGTTGGAAAGGAAAGCAAGTGTAGCCAATGGGGCAGAATAGGCAAGCTATCACACTTTGTGTTTCTGCTTGTTAAATCTGAATGTACCTAATTAGTTATCTTGCCTGCTAACACCTCCAACGACAGCAATGACAAGAGGATTCCAAGAATACGTACCCCATGGGAATGCCCATAGATAGACCGGCTGTAAACTTTAATGTAGTCCCTGGGACCCTGGTCTGCAGTGAAACCTTGCTGGGGTACATGTGTGCGTTTGTGTTTATTTTAAATAAATATGCACATACAAATAAAGACCATCACTTGCTGCCTCTTTGGTTAAAGGTCAGGCCTACTCACTCACATCCGCACTCATTAACATTTGTTAATGTGTAAAGTACTAGCAAAACCACTACCTCACCAGGATTTGGTGACTTTCCAAAATTAAGGACATTTGTTTCAATTTTTTCCACTCTGCTTTTAACCTCACAGTTAAGGTCTTCCCCCAGTAGAGCCCTGTCCACATGGATCCAAGTGACAGCCATCCCCAGACCATCAGATAGCTCAAGTATGTACTCTGCCACATCCATAAGGTCTAGGCATGGAGCTCTGTTAAGCTTGGAAAGAGATTTAAATTGGATTTCATTTTAGAATAGTATTATATGCTGCTTCATCTACCGGCAAACAGGCATTTCAACTGTTTTGCATCTAAGAACAGACCCTCATACCACCTTTTTGAAACTCAGCTGCTTGGTAGGAAATGACCCATGTTTTCTAATATCTTTAAAGATAATTTGGCTAGGAAACAAATCCGAATTGAGCTGGGACTAACCAGGGTAAAGGTTGCTTATATCTGCAGATTACCCCTCTCTGCTTTTCTAATGCACTCACCATGCCTTATCTTTCCATTAATCTTTAATAAACCTTTTAGTTAATTCCCCAAATACACGCAATCTACATGACAGCAGGATACAGTGCAAAAGCAGCCCACGGATATGAGGAAATAGGCAGCAGAGGAATCAAAAGGAGGGGAAACTTTTAGGACTAAAAAACACCCAAACTGCAGGTCAGTAGAAAATGATGAGCAATGAGGAGAAAGCAGCAGTAAGGGGCAAACCAGGGAGGAGGCAGAGGCTGTAAGGGTATTAGTGTTTCTCCGGCTGCTGGATTCATTTTCTCAACGGGGCCCTCCTCCCCTTTCCACTCTGGTTCCACTTTGACAAAAACAGGCAATCCAATTTCAAACTTGGAGCCTCTGAAATGTGGAAAACCCTCTCCAGGCTGACAACAAGGATATAGCTGAATTAAAAGGTAAATGCAATTTAACCCACCCCAGCAGAAATGGTAATCAAATTATATTGCCTCTAAATATGGTAAGTTTGGGGCTGGGGCCCTCAGGGGAAGAGAAGGTGTCTTGCAAACACAAACACAAAGAAACATGCTAAAGGGAACTGCTAAATCAATGGATGAATTGTGACTTCTACCCTCCCTCCCTCCCACAGGGTGCTTGATAAGCTGCTGATTGCTTCTAAAACATCTACTACCAATGTTAGGAACTGATTAAGCAGCTTACAAAGCACTGGGGGCTAACAGACAGGCCCACCAGGGAGACTCCAGCTCTGTAGTTAAGTAGCTTGCTTTTTCATGGCTTGATTATTAAAGATGAGATAGCAGAACATGCTGAAAAGATGTGGAAACAGTTTTAGACCTCAGATGACTGACCTTTTTACTTTATATATGGAATCACTTCTACCCTGTGACTTCATCAGCCAACAAAAGCCATGTTTCCTGCAGTTCTGTAGTCTCCAGCTCTGAGGGGCATCTGAACTACCTCAACTTAAATGTGTCAACTGAACATCCAGAACTGACTACGCTACCCATTATCCTGCAGAAAAGGCACCAGTAGACAAGGGAAACATCAGTGGAAGAGGCTTAAAATAATGTGTTTTACATATCACTGGCAATGGCATTAGACTGTGAATACAAATGTGCCCAGGTCAGCTAGGGCATCTTACCTCATTGCTTCCTCCATTGTGCATCTGAGCGCTGCAGCACATTCACCTTAGATTCCCTATCCTCTCTTTTCACCTCTTTCTGCCAAACTCTTCTTGTTTAATCTGGTACATAATAAAATTCTGCTGTTCAGGCAGATGTGCTGCAAGGTGCTTGCTTAGTTCAATCAATATCAATGCAAAGACATGTTTTGCTGGCACATTACCTGTTCTGTGGTCACATCTGTCATAGTAATACTGCACGGCTTAACTTTGTGTAGCAGGCTTGCTGAGGTTTTTGTGTTTTGTTTTGGGTTTTTTATTATTTTTTCCTCTCTTGTGGTAATGTCTAGCAGACTTTGTAAATTAGCATGTTGCACTAGGGACTGTACAAACTCATAAATTCCTGAGTAACCATTCTTTCAAGCGAAGTAATAAATACTACTTGTCACCTGTAGGCTGAGCCTTAGATGAGCCTTCATTGATCAGATGAAAAATTTCTCACAGCAAGTTCTCTTTGCAGACTACAGTTTTCTTTCACAGTCTCTCCCACCCCATTTCAACACTGACGCTCTAGGCTTTCTCTCTCTCATCCCTAACCAATGCCCCTGTTAACCCATTTTTATATTAAACTATAAACCACAGAGATGGCTTGGAAGTAAAGCTATTTATGCTACGATTAGCTAGAAGGGGGAATGTACAATTAGTTTTGAAGATGAGAACAGGCTTGATATGTAACAGGTAGAATTATTTGAAGAAACTTACCTGCTGAAGGTCTGCGAGAGAATAAAGATGGATTTGCTGGAGAAGATACTCTCTGGGAAAGATCCTGGAAGAGAGAAAAATGGATGTGTGTCATGCCTTTTTGACTGGGAAACTCAAAGATTTCCTCTCCCCACCAAAAGACTGCAGAACAATGATGCTAGAGAGAGAGCTTGTCAGAAACCGGAATTATGTCACCCTGTAAGCACCAGCTACTTCTACAGCATTCCTCATGGGCACAACAATTCCACAATAAGAATGAATGCTGTGCCAGTGTCATTCTTCAACTGTCAGGTAAGCATGTATCATGACATTTACAGTCCTTGAAAGCTCATCCTGAGCACAGAAGCTGTTTCTTTAAACAACCCAGTAATAAAAACAAATAACTCAAACTACACATTAAAAGTATTTCTTATGGTTTTAAGTACAAGATTCCTGGTCTGCTAGAAAGCTGTAACAGTTAATTTCAGATGTGATTTATGGTTTTGTAGCTGAAATAACTATATTGGGAAAAATGTCATGCAGATACTGTTCTTCCAACATAAAGTTGATTGATATCAATTCCCTTTCGCATACAGAAATATATGTATTGGTATAGACTTTATAATGACTTATTTGAGAAAGGCATATTTTCCTTACATAAACCAAGGTTTCAGGAAAGACCATTGATTATCCACTGACAGACCAGTTCAGTAAAGCTAAATTACAGAAACCTGAACAGAGACGTCCTAATTAGAGTGACTTGCAGTAAAATGAAAAACTGGGTTAAAGTAACATTACAGAGAAAAATGGACCTTGTAAAGGTAAGTGGATATTAGCAAGAAAAGTTTATGAAAACCTATGTATCTGCCATAAAGATATCAGGAAGAGAAAAAGTGCATCTAATTAAAATGTCTATCTGTGTGTGCACACAGAAAGACACAACCAGCCAACCAGCTTTATTTTCCATCCATCCAGAACAAATATAAGACCATGCTAAGGTATCGTGGGGAGTGGAGAATCACATCGCTCTTGCAAAAAAAGCAACCAAATATCTCAAGAGGTGCAACTATTTTACACTGCACGTTGCTTAGAGAAGAAATCGTGAACTCAGTTCCTACATTACAATCATGTAGTTTTAAGGCAATACAGAAACGAAATTCTTGATATTTTTAAATGCATGAACAAAGCTCTGACAAAGACTGGTTTGTAATGGTAGAACTGAATGGCAGTGAACAGAAAGACCACTGGACACGTTCAAGAAAAACAAAGATACTGAAAGGCCGATATGCACTTACATGATCATGAGATGAGACTAATGAGAAAGTACACAGGAACTCAAAGAAGAGATTTTAGAAGCTGCGACAACATAATTAGCTTAAACACAGATCAGCAGGGATAACAGTACCCCAACTGCAATCTTTGACAAAACACCGAATCTAAGAAATAATGGAAGCACCTCGGTTCATTGTACTCCATTAGTTGTCTTAAACAACTATCTTAAACTGACGCTTTCAAAGCTGTCTTGGAGGGACTAGGACTTTTCACTCCTGTTAAGGTGAGTGGTACAAAGTCTCATACTCCTTTTGTACTTTTGAAAAAAAATCTAAGCTGTATTGGGGTGGGAGGGGAAGAGTCCTGCACGCAAGGCACTCGCAACCGGGCACTGCCAATCTTACAGCACTCTTCTAGAGCAGGACTGTGCCCTTGCTCCTTCTGACTCACCAAGCACATCTGCTCAAATTCTCAGCTGCAGTCTCACTGGGATACTGCAGTCTCCCCTTTCAGTTCTGTAGGCTATACCATCGCTCCTATTAGAGGTAAACATGTTTCAGTGGCTCTGCTGCATCACACCTTCATAATACATTTGGCACAATGTCAAAGACCGCTAGAAAACAGTAAAAATCCAGATATCAGACAACATATGACATTGGGATTCCTCATCTGTGCATAGAAGATTTACTAAAATTGATTGTTAGGGAGTCAACTCTGAACAGCATTTTGAAGCCATTAGTATTTTTCAGCTCTGATAGAATTTCTTTCATTAAAATTTCCCCATCATTCTCCCCGATCACACAGGCAGGCACTAAACAGCTTTTCCAGGAACTGTATTATTTACTGATGCCCTTACAGCACTGCTAAGGAAAATAATGAGCTAATGAAAGATTTCGTTTTTCAGGAAATAGCCTGAATAGCCCATAAGGCAGAAACTGTCAATGACTAATATCAATGACTAACATCACGTTCCCCTGCCTTCAAGGACTGCATTTTATTTCCTGCAAGTTCTGACTCCTCATAAAAAGTGTGCAGATGAAAAGCAAACTCATGATCGAGGGACTTCCTTTGTCAGGTGAGTCTCAGCCAGCACAGGCCCTGGTGACAGTCATCCTCTCCCTGTACCTGTCCCTCTCCCTGATACATGTTAGTTTGCAGCAGCAGCAGCTCTGCAGAGCCAGCATCCAACATTCCTCCTCCCTTCCAAATCTGTTTTCCAGGAAAAGAAGTATGGAAAGACTCCTCCCAGTCTTATGCGAGACACATATATACACACACACACACCCTGCACTCAAGTGAGAGGAGGGCTTATTTCCATTGCTATGGAAACTGAGGCATTAATAAACCCTCAGTAAGTAAGGCTGGTCCAGCTTCAGATTTGCAGTCCTTTTATTGACTCGAAAAATCACAATTTGGTTGTGGTGGGCCACAGAAAAACAGCTGAGCAGCCAGAGCTCGCATATACAACAGCATTTACAAAATTTCTTATGAAGTAACTGGACCAGTTCCTGTATGGTTCCCAATACATGCGGATGTGCAAAACACTCCCTCAACAGCTGCCCACATCACCAAAGGTGGAGAGCACACAGCTCCATGAGAGTGAAACCACTGAAATCGCCTAAAAGTAGGCAGCTCAGTCCCTAATCATTTAAAATATAAATGATGCACCTTCACCACACCTGTGGTAAGCTGAGCGGCTATTTCAAAAACACATCTTGCTGTGCTGCAAGTCTGCAATTAAGATCTCCTCCAGAAAACTTCTATTAGTCCCATTTGGAAAGAAAAACTGAAACTCAACAGCTACCTGAACATAACTTGGGAAGCCACCTCCCAAAAATGTGTCTGTTTATTGCCAGTTTTGTCAGCCTCTAGTGGATGGGGAACAAGAGCATAAGAAGCACCAGAATATCAAACCCAAACACGTTTTCAAAAAAACTCATCATAAAACGCAAGCAAATCAGTTGGGGCAGGAAATCCACACACACCAAGTAGTCCAGTGAGCAAGAAAATGAATGACCCGGTTTCCAATGGCTTGCTTGCCTGCACAGGTTCTCCGAGCCTAATAAGGTGATGTCTTATATAAAGTCTTTTTCAGTAGGGGGCACACAGGACTAATTCAGAGCCTCTTGCTTCTCGACCCAGACACTTCCTCTCATGAAACTAGTAGGAACGTAATGTCTTTGCCACCTTCATCCCTCTGTCAACTGCAACTGAAACTGGCCAAAGGAAGCCAAAGTCAGTAGAGTACAGCAGGCAAGACGGGCTCACACAAACACCACGCCATTGCATCAGCGTCCAGACAAAGTACTACACGGCGTCCAAATCAACCTAAAATCACATTCATGTCTAAAAAACTGACACAGACCACAGAGCAGGCTAAGATAACTACTTAGAAATATTTCACTAGAAAACACATATTTACTTTCTGCATGAGATGGAGCTTTGAGCATGCTTGGGTTAATATAAGGCCTTGATCGAAAAAGACCAAAACATTTGCGTGCATTTTATTTTTCCCTTGATATAAAGGTCCTTTACAAACACTAAGTGGGAAACCTCTGATAAGTTATTTGAAAGCAAAATAAAAGATGTCAGTTTTGTAAATCTTTTGATCGATGCGCTATAACAAACTGGATTTTTTTTTTAAAGTTGGTCAAGTAAAAGCATTCAATAAACACTGTCCTTTCAGTCAAATCTTAACACAGAAAAAAACTGGAGTGAACTAGACAGAGGTCAAATGTAAGATGTTAAGACTCATCACAATAAAAACTCAAACCTCTGCTGCTTCAGAATGTGACCTGTGACCCTTGAAAGACAAATGGTATTGAGTGCATGTCTCGCTAAAAGCACCTCCTAAGCTTTCACAGTTTGGAAACTCCCGGACCAGTTTCACCATCCATGCAAAACAGAACAGTTGTGAGTCACAGGATTGCTGTGCTGTAAACCCTGGCTACCAGTCAGGGTTAAGCCTGCAATGAACAAATCAAGTTCAATGCTAACCAGCCCTCCAGCTTTGCCAGTTCCTGTGAACAATGAAATCCAAAGTCCTATTGGTTAAAGGTCTCTAAATTGCTTTATTGTTATGTGCTAGAAATAAAAGCAATCAATGCAAGCAGGAAAGAAACGCACCATCAGAGACTTTCAGTCCAACTGAAAGAGAGAATTGAGCATTCTCAGTTTGTGATTATTATTCTTTTTTGTTTGATACTTTGTAATCCAAAGCATAACCTTCAGGCAAGATAGAACCAGAAATTTCATCCGTTCCCTTTCCGGATGATCTTATCAGGTAAGTATTTGCACAAACAAAGGTTATCTCCTAGTGTCCTCCTGCAAACAAAACCACTGATAAGACTTTGCTTTTTGCATTTGGACAAAGTGTGTAGTCATGGTGCTTTGTTAGCACTAAGTAATTGCTCTGCATTTAAAGCCTGTTTATCATCAGCTTAGGTGATTTTTCTCCAATGGGTTAAATACCCTGACAGCTCTGCTAAAGCTACAACCAATTAATCTGCCCAAGCCTGACACTATAACCAAAGTACAAACGCGATAAGCAGAGCGAACTCTTCTTTTTACACCGTAATCAAAAGAAATCAAGTTAGCTGGCAGGTGGGCACAACCAAGTCTCTTTTGTACCAAAAAACCTGCTGAAACGTAGGATGGGAGGAGGGAGGGGAAGCTGGCACCACTATTTCATGTGCCAGCCAGGAGTGTCTTGTTTGACCAGGCTGAGAATTGTATGACTGAGCTCTGACTCATGGGAGACGCAGATGCACCAGTCTAGTACGAAGCCACATTCAGACGTCCTCTTCTCCACCC